CGGCCCCCGGGTCTTAGAGACAACCCTGAGTACATCTGATCAAACAAAAGTATTTTTAATAATGGCCAAAACTTCAACGACTACCAGGGAGGAATAAAATAAACAAACAAAAATTTATCGTTATCATACAACATATATCAAACAAAAATTTCAAACAAATGAGGATTCACTTATTTTCACCATTAGACATCTATGATGTTGCGACCACCATCAATAACTGATGATTGTTACTCAGATGATTCATTTGCATTACTTGAAATACTATCAAAAATGACCAATATTTGTACATCTTGTAGGCTTATTATTTTTAACATTTTCAGTAAATCTCTCAGCAGGTCACACATGAGAAATTTTGTCTTTTAAACAGTAAACTATTTCAATTTACAATCTATCACTAGATTGTTAAACAGTTGTTATATTATTATAGACAGTACTTACAAACCAATACATTTTTCCTATACATATCATCATTATGCATATGAATAAGGGTTGTGTTATGACTTTGTAAGATGTATATGTACTCTAGTTACAGACAATCTATTTAAATTGTTCTAATGATTCTTCATAATTTCTAATATTATCTGCCAAATAAAGGCGGATTACAATAGTCAGAACTCTCTCTTTTAACTGTTTAAATTTCCATCGATGATGATGTCCTTCGTGAATAATCTGATAAGTTGAGATTGCGGACACTTTTTGTTTAAATATTGATGACTTAATCGTAATTTAGTAGGAGAAATAATTCATTTTTACCTTGTCGTTACATCATAAAAAGTTCCAGAAGTCCAAAAGTACAACAAGTTGCATTCCGATGTCACGATTCCCATATGTTTCCATCGGGTTTCCAAATTTGGGAAACCTGGCTTTTCATCCTGTGATATGCTGGTACCCAAAGTAAAGGTCTTGCACCGAGGAATACACGTGTGAAATATGAAAGCCCTAGCAGCAACCATTGAAAAAGATATGGACAAGGTTAAAGTTTTTTCAAAAGTAAGTCAGACATCAAGGTCAAGGTCAAATGGTCAAAATTAATGGTGTCCAAGGAAAGGCCTTCTCAAAAGAAATACACATGTAAAATATGAAAGCCCTAACAATGACAGTTTAAAAGATATGGCCAAGGTTAAAGTTTTTCAAAAGTAGGTCAAACTGCAAGGTCAATGTCAGTGGGCTATAATTTTGGTATCTAAAGGAAGGGATTGTCACAAGGATTACACATGTGAAGAATGAAAGCCCTTGCACCTATGGCCAAGGTTAAAGTTTTCCAAAAGTAGGTCAAACTCCAAGGTCGAGGTCAAAGGGTCAAAGTTGTTGGTATCCAAAGGAAGGACTTGTCACAAGGATTATACATGTGAAGTATGAAAGCACTAGCACCAACTGTTCAAAAGTATGGCCAAGACTAAAGTTTTCCAAAAGTAGGTCAAACTCCAAGGTCAAGGTCAAATGGTCAAAGTTGTTGGTATCCAAAGCAAGGTCTTGTCACAAGGATTACATATTCTAAGAATGAAAGTCTTAGCACCAACCGTTCAAAAGTTATGGTCAATGTTAAAGTTTTACAAAAGTAGGTCAAACTCCAAGGTCAAAGGGTCAGTTGTTGATATCCAAAGCAATGTCTTATCACAAGGATTACATATGCTAAGTATGAAAGCCTTAGCACCAACCGTTCGAAAGTTATGGCCAATGTTAAAGTTATTCAAAAGTAGGTCAAACTCCAAGGTCAAGGTCAAAAGGTCAAATATGGTGGTACCCAAAGAAAGGTCTTGTCACAAGAAATACACATGTGAAGTATGAAAGCCCTAGTACCAATCGTTCAAAAGTTATGGCCAAAATTAAATTTGGGAAAAAATTTGCAAAACTGGGTAAAACTCCAAGGTCAAGGTCAAAAGGTCAAATATGGTGGTACCTTAAAGAAAGGTCTTGTCACAAGGAATGCACATGTGAAATATGAAAGCCATAGCTCCAACCAATCAAAAGTTATGGGCAATGTTAAAGTTTTTGCGGACAAACAGACAGACAGACAGACAGACAGATGAACGGACAGGGCAAAAACTACATACCCCCGAATCTTCGATACGGGGGCATAAAAACAGAACAAAAACAGTCTCCCTAATTATTGATCTATTTAATAGGTGTCTGTCACTATTCTGCTCGAGGTTTAAAGTTGTATATTTTACGACTGCATTTTCAAATGTTTCAATTTCATCATTATATTTTTGTTCTGTTTTTTTTACTCATAATTGGTAATTTAGATACAAACCCTCGACCAATATCAAATAATTTTAAAACACAAAATTTAAGTATAGTTCATAATAATGTATGCAGTGAACTTAACAAAGTGAATGATGCTTTTTACAATGAGTTGCCTGACTGATATTATTGGTATTATGATAATACTGTTATTGAAACTCCCCTTGATAATAACATAACCAATTATGAAATCGGGTTTTATGGTTTTTCACCCTACAATTAGAAGGATCGTAATAGGTTTTGGGGATGGAATACTGTTTGATGTTTCTTTAGACTTACATTTCATCATAAGAGATGATCTCAATTTCAATGATATTGAACTTGTCTGGTGTGAAATACATACGCAAGACAATAAGAAAATTTTATCGACCACCTATTGCAACTGTTTCTTACTTTGATCGTCTTTTTGATTCACTAGAAAATGCATTAAATGAATCCATGCCAGTATTTCTTTTGATGATTTTAATATTGATATGCTGACCAGTGAAAACAGTGCTTTAACACAATATATGGTACAGCGTAACTTATTAAACTTGGTTAGTGAACCAATTACAACAAATTCTACATCTATTCCTAGTACATGTATAGATTTAGTATTCACCAGTAAACTGAGTGTTCTAGATAATGCGCATGTGGCATCTCCATACTGTAGTACACACACCATTCACGAGTTAGTTTTGACATTAAATACAAAACGTTTAAACAATATGCTTATAAACGTACCATAAGAAACTATGATAGTGTTAATTTCAAAAATATTGGAAATTATCTAAAGGAATTAAATTGGGACTCCACGGTTTTTAATTCAACGATCATAAATGAAATATATGAAAATATCTTTCACTCTTACGATAATATTTTGCATAAACATATACCTAAGAAGGCCACGGAATAAGCCATTAATTAAAAAAGGTATACATCTAAAAATAAGGCAAAGAAATCGTATACACAAAAAAGCAATACATAAAAAAATGAATAAACCTGTGGCGTCGTTTCAGATGAACTATTTTGTCTCACCAAGAAAGTACATAGACTGAGTTGCTTTTTGTCATTAAGGAATAATAAAAATTTATTTCATTTTATCTTGAAATCATAAATTTAAACTAGTATATGATACTAAACGTTTGTTTCTAAGCGAAAAACGTTCATTAATACACCTTTATTTCAGATTAATGTAATTTTTTAATTAAATAACTTAACTTGAAAAACCTTAAGAAATACAAACTTGATATGTTAAATAACTCGAAAATGCTATTAACATGTAAATAATCATCTGTCAATTTTTGAAGGAAAAAAAAAATTGAATTGCACCAATTTCTTGACTTTGGGTGTTTTAACAGTATCAATTTAATTCAAAATATTATCTTTTAATTAAAATACCAATTTGAAAATTAAAAAATACAACATATCACTAAGAATTCTGTTAGAAAATAAACAGCACTTGTGAAAAAATACTAGTACATCAAAGGGATAATGTATCCAGATTTAAGGACATTGGCAAGTCAGGGTTTTCCGGAGAAAAAAGGTTTAATACATGGGTTTTTTCACTTATAAAATAGTGATTGAGAGTGATCTCCCGTGTAGAATTCTCTAAGCGGTGAAAACCAATAAAGCGTATGAGGGGTAAACAAAAGCAAGTGTACTTCCTTCAAAGGGTAGAATCATTTATACAGCAAGAAAGAAGAGTAGTAAAGGCTTTGTTGTACATTGTATTCAGAGACAAAGAGCCAACAGGTCGTCATTTACCATAGTTATGCTCAGTATGCTGGGAAGGGCAAAGACGTGACATATGCTGAAAGGTAGGTCGACCATGCCGACTGAGAACAGTTCTTAGGTCGTGTGAAGGAATCAGCATTTAGTAACTACGAATAAAAGTTAAAAATAAATCCATGCCAATATTTGTATGACAATATGTTTCAATCAATTCAGTAAATTACATGATAAAAACAATCAACCAGTCTCTTGTCCAATTTTAGCTGTTAAGGGACGCAACTCAAAAATGATGACCGGTGCCTGTATATCCAATCCTGTTTCTATATATACATTTTCAGCCAAAATATCTAGAAGTCATAGGAAATGGGGATACAATAATGTATATACTACAAAAACTGTATGAAATAAATGGGTTTTGAAGAAATATTATGGTGAAAAATTATGTAGGTCCCTTTTCTCAACATTTTACATAGGAAATGCATTAAGAATTGTAAAAACACTAATTTGACAAAATCTAAAAAGGATTGTTGGATTGATAGGTAAAACGATCCAGAATATAGCCTGTTTAGTGCATTTAAGCCTACTCAAGAGTTCTTGAAAAAGTCTATACAATAACCAGGAATTTTGCCAATGTCCTTAAAACTACATATTGTTGAATCAGCACAAATAAACATGACCACTTGTTCCTTTAAATCAAAACCATACCATAATGTTTGATGTTTGAATAATAATAGGCAAACACAGACTGCGGAACAAAATAGACGTTGTGTTATGCCTACTTAAATTCACAGTTTTAAACGCCGGTTTGTTGTATTTTTTAAAGCAGTATCACACTTCACAATCCTAAGCTTATAAGACTAATGATATAAAATTTGTCCAGCCAAAAATACGTATCTCTAAATATACAACAACAAGATCAAGTCATGCTGGTTGTAGTTCATATCCATTATTTCTGACACAGCTTAGTTTTGATTAAAATAATTTTACCGAACAATACATGTGGTGCATTAGCGAATGTACAGTGTCACAGACTTTGATGACTCTTACGGTCTGACACCATGTTCTGCCAGTAGATTTAGAACGTCAACATCTCCTCCCATTGCAGCATATATTGCGGCATTTCTTCCTTCATTATCTATCTCATTAAGCATGTCTGGATAATGTTGGATGATATGTTTACACATTTCTAATTTTGATTTCAGGCAAGCTACGTGGAGAATATTAATTCCACCCGGGCTTTTCTGCATAGGGTTCAAACCATTTTCTACCAAAAGATTTAAAACCTGAACATTTCCTTCAAGTGCAGTGCATATGGCGGCATTCCATCCATTGTTATCAACTTGATCAAGCATTTCTGGATAATGGTTGATTATATGTCGACACATTGCTACGTTAGATTTCATACAAGCAATGTGAAGAATATTGCGGCCATTATTGACCTTATGCATGGGATCTAGCCCAATTTTTACAAGAAGTTCTAAAATTTCAGTGCTCCCTCCATGTGCGGCACAAATTATAGCATTCCATCCTTCATTGCTGACCTGATTTAGCATGTCTGGATAATGTTTGATGATATTTCGGCACATTTCTAATTGAGCATTCATGCAGGCCATGTGAAGAATATTTATGCCACTATTACTCTGTAGCGTTGGGTCAACTCCATTTCTTAGCAATAATTTCAGTATCTCCAGATTTCCTCCCTTTGCGGCATATAATGCTACATTCCTTCCTTCATTATCCATCTTAGTAAGCATGTCTGGATAATGTTCAATGATATATTGGGATATTTCTAGTTTAGCATTCATGCAGGCCATATGAAGAATATTCATGCCATCATTACTTTGGAGTTTGACATCCACACCATTTATTTTTAAAAGTTCTAATATTTCAATATTTCCACCTTTCGCAGCATAAAATGCAGCATTTTGTCCTCCATAATCTACCTGACTGAGCATATCTGGATAATGTTTGATGATATATTGGCATATCTTAAATTTAGATCCACAACAAGCCAGGTGAAGAATGTTACATCCATGAATGTCCTTCAATGTGTGATCGACGCCATTTTTTACCAGTAATTCTAAAACTTCAACACTTCCTTCCTTTGCAGTGTATAGTGCAGAATTCCATCCTGCGTTATCTACCTGATTAAGCATGTCTGGATAATGTTGGATAATATGTGTGCACATTTCTAAGTCAGATTCCATACAAGCACTGTGAAGAATATTACTGCCACAATTGCTTCTATGCTTGGGATCCACACCATTTTTTATCAATAACTCTAAAAGTTCGATATTTCCTCCACACGCTGCATGCATTGCAGCATTGCATCCTTCAATATCGACCTGATTTAGCATGTCTGGAAAATATTTGATGACGTTTTGGCAAATATTCAGGATTCCGTAATGACAGGCAATGAGAAACATATCAATTCCAACTTCACTTTTTTCAAAATTGTCCTTTATTTCTGCTCTTGATTGTTCTGAAAAGAAAACTCTAAGTTTCTCTGCGTTATTTGACGGCACTTTCGGTCCTTTTTTCTCAGTCCTAATATCTCCTACTGGTCTAAGATTTCCATCTTTATGGGGTTCATTTTTTTCCATTTTATGTGGGTTGTGTAACAGGTTTTTTACATGCAAGTTACTGTCATCTGAAAAATTGATTATATATATATATATATATATATATATATATATATATATATATATATATATATATATATATATATATATATATATATATATATATATACATATATATATATATATATTTATATATATATATATTTTGCTAAAGAATTTTTTTTTTTCCATAGTATAAATGTATGCTGCAAAAACCGTAACTTATTTTCAAAGGTTATAAAACTACATGCAAATTGTATTTCTCTATAATATATTCTTTATATTTGTTAAAGGTCAATATCTTTTTAACTTCATTAAAGTCGCCCTCGTGGCGCAGTGGTTAGAGCGTCTGCTTAAGGGCCGCGGAGTAAGTAGCTGATCCTCATGTCGCGGGTTCGAATCCACTGCGGGACGTTGAGACCGGTCCTTCGGATGAGACCGTATAAACCTAGGTCCCGTGTCGCAGTAGGAGTTGGCACGAAAAAGATCCCTCATTGCTCAATGGCCCTGAATGCCGAGTATAGGTATAAATTTGCAGCCCTCCAATGTAAAGTGGTGGCGTCTCCATATGAGTGAAAAATTTTCGAGAGGGACATTAAACAACAAAAACAAACAAACTTCATTAAACACTAGATGCTGTCATAAGACAGTAATATACACTCTAGGGTGTTTGCGTCTAAATATACACTCCTTCATATGTGGGTAACGAAGGAAATAGCCACAATTATTATATAATTTACACATTACGTTTTTTGTCAAATCGAGCATATTATGCGCAGGTTAACATGTGGCCCATGGGTCTCTTATGTAAGTATTTCATATATTAAATTCATTACCAGTCTGAAATTACAGATTTTAATTAATAATGTAAATTATGTTTTTAAAAAAAGAGGGAGGATGTAAATATTTGGCCCATTATTGGAACTTATAAATTTTTTCAAAACAAAATATATTATTAATTTGGTGCCAAGCGTTTTTGATGAACTTAAAAAAATTAGATGCCAGCTTTCAGAATTGATCAAATTGTGCAAAATTGATGCAAAAACCCTCTCCAAAACGCACACTTGATCAATCTTGTCAAAACCACCCTCCCCACAATTTGCCCGTTTTTATAAAAAAAAAATAGCAGAAAGATATTTTAAAACATAGTTTGTAATTATAAGATAAAATTTGTTCGTGTACGTATACCACGTACACCTTTTTTAAAATTTCTAGACCCTCGCCTCACATTGCACCATACGAGTACTCCCTAACAAAAAAGTACTATAGTTAACTATAGTTTACTATATTTAACTATAGTTAACTATATTATCAGAGTTTTTTCCACTGTAGTTAATCATAGTATTTTTACTATGGATTTCAGTTATATTTTTTGTTCTTCAATTCATACCTGCACACTTTTTACATTAAATTGAAATATTATTTGTATATTCACACATTATTTCCAAATTTTACATTACTGTTATCGAATTTTAGAGATTTTTAAGCTTTGAAATCTCAAAAAAAAAAAACGTTCCAGAGTAAAGTTTCATAGTAAATCAAAGTATCAAAGTTTTCACTATAGTTAACTATGGTAAACTATAGTTAACTATAGGTAACTATAGTAAATTTCTGTCAGGGTTAGTTTAACAATGGTTATCCTTATTGAATTGCACATGGTGTATACATCATTATATCAGTAGGAATTAATTCATTGTGTGTTTTAATTGGGTTATATCTAATGAAGTTGACAGTACCTATGACAGGCGGTAAGTACAAGTTAAGGTAAAGAATGGGGTAAAATAATCTGAAAAGCAAATGGTTAGTTATCATGTAAAAAGGGTCAAAGATCATCGGATGCCATTTGCAAGTTATACATTGAAGCAAGTCCATGGAGGTCATTCCCATTCCCAGGATATGTAAACAATCAAATAGCTTTTAAATTAAATGAAATCGGAAATCCCAAAGCCGTGTTTGTGTTATGACAGATTAAATGGTATAAGGGGTCATGACCCCCCCCCCCCTCCCCCGAGGTCTCTCTGACCACCCCCCTGAAACGACAAATTATCATGTGAGTCAAAAATGATTGAAAACTTTTCCCCTTGACCATACATAATTTTGTTTCTTGTGTCATTATGGATCAAATGGAATAAAGTTTATGAAACCCTGGAAATCATCCTTACCCCTTTGAACTGGAAATGTTCACAATATGACCTGAATTGAAAGGGGAAGGCATGTCTGCATGTCTTCAATGTTGAAAACTCCTTAGATTTGTGCATATTACATGTAACCCCACTTCTGACTTGTCATCATTATTAACTCTTAATTCTCACAACATACATGTACATGTTTATAATTATTCAATAGTATAAATTTTTGGTCATATTCCTTATTCTCCCTTGATTCAGGTATGATGATATAAATATTTTTAGAATGATTAAGAGTTGAACAGGTCTTGCATCTTAATATTGATTAAGCTCTGTGGTTGAATTAACTATACCAGTATAGCTTGAGTTTGCCATTCAAAACACCTAGAATAGCTATTTATAATCATACTGTTTTCTAAAATGTGCAGTTTTTTCAACATGGATAAAAGTCATATTATGGTGACATATGGTATACATTTTCAGCTTTAAACAATTCTGAAAACAATAAAAGAAAAAAAAGCTTTTCAAATATTGTAGCTCTTTCCGAGCATTTTTAGTTTTGCATGAGGCTTTAAACTTAGGGTTTTTTCTCTCTCTCTCTCCTTTTCTTTTCCTCTTTCTGAATCTACGTGTATTTGGGCCAAAAATTAAAAATGGAATAATAAACATGTAAGACTTTTTTTTTTAAATTGAAAAACTTTTTAAGATTTATACTGTCTAATTCATACTGCAGCTAGAATGATATCCATTCCAGATATGTAAAAAATAAGTTTTCTCAAAATCATTTCTTTGATCTACATTTAATTACAAAAGGACACAACCAGAAGTCTTTTTTTAGTAATTTATAACAAATGTCAAATGGAACTCCTATTGGTCAAGAACATGTACGTTCTTCACTTAAATCCCTTAGAAAATACCCAACTGTCTTCAGAGTATGCAAAAATTAATTAAATTATGTTTAATAATTTGAAAACTACTCACTGAACCCTCACCTAATTTGTTGAGACAGGTAAACATGCTCCTCAGGTTATAATTATCATACATGAGCTCTATAAAAAGTTTTCACTTATGTGAAACTTCATCACATAGTGTTCTTTCAAGTTTGTCCAAATCATGACCTTCATGTGTAGGGTGGAGCCACCGTAGGGGATCAAAGTTTTACATGGGAATGTATAGGAAAAAATCTTCAAAAATCTCCTCAAGAACCATTAGGCAGGAAAAACTTAAACATGTGAAAATTTCATAACATAGTGTAAAATCAAATTTGTTCTTTCAAAACTGTACTCCTCCTACAGCTTTGACCCCGCATTTCATTAATACTTGGAGCCCAAGTAGACTATACTAAGATACATAATTCTATTTATCAGTTTTTGATTTCCTTGAACACTGTTGACATGATAAGTAAAAAAAGGGATATTTTTGTGAAATTCATTCAAACCGCTACTCCTCCTATAGTTTTGGTTCGATTTCAATGATTTTGTGCACAATCAGCCTTTAATAATTTACATAATTCAGTGTTTATCAGTTTATGATTTCCACGAATGATGTTGCCATGGTCACTAAAATAGATTAAAAATGCATACATGTACCCCTACGAGGATTGTTACACAATGTCGTAGACAGGAAAAACGATTTAGTTCGCTTTGCTAAATTAAGTTTTTTTTCTTGTCATGGTAAAAAGCAACATTTTATGATCATGAATTTCAAGTTTCATGATAATAACACATTTAATAAGAAAATATTGTAAAAATGAAGAAAACATAAGTGTACATCGGCGCACGAAAGCAAGCGTAATTTACGTCTTTAATAACATCATGATCATTCTTTTAAGTACTGCCCCGTGTGCTTAACATGCGTCTCTGAAGCATTTAAACTGGTAAACCACTCTTGACAGAGGGGCTCGTTAAAATTTACCACTGTCCATATTTTTTTAATTCAGGTTCACATTTCAGTCCTTACATTGTAGGAAGAAGAAATATTCAAAGTTTGACGTCAAAAGTGATCCATAACGTTCCTCGCCGTCTGAATTTAACAAACAGTACTCTTCTTATAAGCCTAACTATTTTCGGTACAGAGATGAAAACTGTCCTTGTTTATGTTATGCCATTTATAAAGAACTTCTCTACTAACGTTGTAGTGTTAAATGCCTCTTCTACATCTTTTTTACGTCTCCGAAGTGAACAAACCACATTTGAAACAATTTTATTACATCCCATCTTCCAAAAGATGATTAGGCTACCGCGTAAAATATAAGAGGAATTCTGGGATTCAGTGTCTTTTTGTATAAAAATGGCATTTTTCGGACCCCATTTGACCCCAAGGTTGAAAATGAAAATTCCGAAATCTTATTGCACATCTACAGAACACCACCAATCATCTTCCCTTAAGATGATTGGGCTAGTGCATAAAATGTAAGAGGAGTTCTGGGAACCAGAGCTTTCTTTGCATATAAAACGTCATTTTTCGACCCCTATTTGACCCCCAGGGTGAAAATGAAAATTTAGAAACCTTATTGCACATCTACAGGACACCATCAAACATTTTTCAAAAGATGATTATAGGCTACTGTGTATTGTGATTTCTGGGAATCAGGGTCTTTTTTGTATAAACAAGAGACCCATGGGCCACATCGCTCACCTGAGTCATCTTGGCCCAGCTGTTCTAATTTTTAAAAAAAACTTTTTTTTCATTACTGACATGAAATATTATGACCTCAAATTCTGGCCTCATCAAAATTTAGGCTAAATATGTCATGACATAAGTGAATTAACTCCAATTAACATGGGAATGCTTGAATTTCAATTTCACTGACCAAATGTGCATACTTTTCTAGAAGTATGAAGGCTTTGGACATGC